ATATATATAGAAAAGGCTTACACACAATTTTTTAACTTACATTTAAATTAAAAACTCAACAGTCATTAGCACAACACATCACAATTCTATAGCTATATACTTAATTATGTTGCCTACCTTTTCTAATATAATTTGAATGTTTTCGTTTTGTCACAGCTGTGTATGCGTTGTTTGCTTTGTCCACATCGTCTTTAAAAAAAAATATATATAAGTAGAAAACGACGAAATTCTAATATCCTTCGACGTCATTCCCTATTTACAAACATCCCCATACATTTAGCTATACAGACTATTATGATTTGGAGAGTCACACCAAGATAACAAAGAAGCAGTTCCAGATGATATTAGAATTTTGTTTACGTGACAATAATTATTTTAAATACAACAACACGTTTTACCAACAAATCTATGGCATGCCTATGGGGAATCCATTATCACCAACAATTGCAGATATTGTACTAGACAAAATACTTGACGACAGCCTGGCTGAATTAAATCAGCAAAATATACAAATCAAATACATAACAAAATATGTAGGTGATCTATTTGCAATAGTAAAATCAAATGACGTAGAAGATATATTAAAAACCCTAAGTGCACAATACACAAAAATAAGATTCACAGCAGAAAAAGAAACGAATAAAAAAATTGGCATTTCTTGATGTAGAACTACACAGGTGTCACAACAATGTCAAATTCAATTGGTACACAAAGTCCATTGCGTCAGGTCGGATAATAAACTACCATTCAAATCATCCGTGGAAGCAGAAAATGAACACAGCATCTAGCCTAATGAGAAAAGTTTATATTCTTAGTGATGAAGAATTCATAGAAGAAAACAAAAACAAAACAAGTAAGAAAGTCTAAGTGATAAAACGAAAACATTCAAATTATATTAGAAAAGATAGCCAACATTATTAAGTACATAGCTATAGAATTGTAATGTGTTGTGCTAATGACTGTGAGTTTTTAATTTAAATGTAAGTTAAAAAATTGTGTATAAGCCTTTTTGCTATACATATGTTTGTTAATACTGTGATTGTAATTCATGTTTATTGTTTTTAT